AATTGGTCATTACTATAATGTTCTTTTTGTTTTACACCGTCAGGAATGTGACACACATATTGCTTAAATGGAGTACATTATATAATAGGCGACATATACTTGGATCATATATTTGCTTAATATTCTTATAATCATATCTGATATTGTCCCTACTATTTAGCACAAACATATTATACGAAACGTCACTAATCTTTATCCTAAATCTAACATTTTGTTACATAACATGCTAAAACAAGTCAAAAGGTAAACATGAAAGAAAATTTTATCAAACGAAAATCACCAAAAATGCTTCAAATTCAATTTAAAGTCAATGAATATGCAAAAATCCAGATATGTAATGTAGCGTTAAAATTTATATCCATGTTTTAAGGGGGAAAATGTAGCATTTACGGCACAATTCACATAACGTGAATATTAAGTGACTGGGAATAAGTGAACCCCGCAAATTTACATCATTTATATCGGAATTTGTATCAGCAAAGTTGTACTTTTCAGTTGAATGTTTATATGCTTATACTGTTTGATATTAAACATTGAATTGCAGGTGAAATGTCTGGAACCAATGTTATTGCTGTTTAAATAAAATCTTTTAGCTGTTCCTTAACATAATGTAGGGTTAGTGTAGAGTTAACTTCATCATATATGATAATAAGTGGTCTGTTAAACTACATTTTTCATTTTGACATAAATTGGTAGATCAAAAACATAATTGAAAAAATACAAAATTGTAATATTTGTAACGTCAGGCAAAATACTGTTAAGATAGCAAAAACGTAAAGCAAAACTGTTCATATGATTGGACTTTTTGGAAATGAGGGACACTGACAAGTACAACATCACAATCACCTCTTAGCACCGCGGTGAATGCAATCTAGTCCTAGACTCCATTATATTGATTTCAATAAAACAGTTAGGATAGACAAAAACAGAAAAAGAAGACATTTTAAGGCTACCTTATTTCAGATGCATAATAAATAAAGCCTACCTGTTATAAAACTAGAGACTTAAAATGTATATCTTGTTAATCTACGTTTAATTTCTTCGTGTTATCAATATTAGAGTTTGATTTGACATATTATATAATATTGCCTTACACATGGTTACATTACGGGTTTAAGATAGAAAAAAAACATAACTGAATTGTGTTTACTTATTAACTTTAGGCTTATACCTTTTTAATACCGTTACATTACTTCATTCATGCACTGCATAGACACTCGCTCTGTTTGAGCGCTGATTGTAATGTTCTTTTAACATCAAGGTCTTGTTTCTAATTTTCAGTAAAAACACGTTATCACATTGTTTTTGTTCCACTGTGTGCATGTTAAAATTCCTTTGATGATTTTAATTGAATTTATTTCACCATCCGTCTTCATCATTTTAAACTTCCTAAACGTCAATTAAGATTAGCATAGGAAACTTGTTATATAATGATTGACGTCACGTGGTATTTCTAGAATGGTAAATTACACCTATATGTGGTAAATTTAAAGGTTGATAAGTGATAATTTGTATAGTAAAATACTCCGATTATTTTCTTTCTTGAAATTTCCAGTTAGATACTGAGACGTGTCGGGGTGGCCGAAGACGAACTGTTCAAACATGTCATTATCACTGATAACTAAATAAACAAGTAAATAAGTTTATATAATGCATTATAGCACAAAGTCAGTTAACATTATACTCGTCTTATTTACTTTAGTAATGAATTTAATCATCATACAAGGCATTTCAATAAAAACAAAAGTGAAAATCATGCTAATTATTAACTTATTTTAGTACTTAAGAACGTTTTGCAATGTCCTCTTTCTAAAAGACAAACATTTTCTTTTCAGTTTTACTTCTTGTGATGGATTTTTACACAAAATATATTTTCATTAATTAATTATATATGATAATGTTAATTAAAAATAATTTTTATTTCTTATTAAGCATTTATTATTTTATATTACTTTATCGACACTAATTTTCAATTTAAATGAAACATCTTCACTATTCAAACTTTTTTCTCTTCCTTGAAATAACTTAACGTCACAAAAAATGTTTCGACAGACAAACGTTGGTTAAGACAATTACAATAATATTTGCCAAAAAAAACAACAACAACACAAGTATTGTTGTCCTGAAATCAATGCTATTTTTGGCTGCATTGCAATGGTATATAATAATACATTGTCCCCAAAGTGATATATATGTATACTGTAGGTAATTTGTATAATGCAATATGTATTTTTTAATTTCCTACATAGATCAGCTGGGGCACTTAGAATAGAAAGATATGCAAAAGATAACTCAGAATAAATTGAAAATCGTTACTGTGATTTAAATGAAAACCGTTTGGGTCATTTTTGGAGGAAAAAACGGAGTGAGCGAACGATCCGAAATTCTACACAAAAGTTGGTCTAGATCTGCATCAAATTGAGCATTAATCTCGAAAAATTATTTCCAGTCCCATGATGTCAAGAAACCTCAGTAGAGTCCCATTTTAAAGCAACACATTTGTCTTACATATATCAGCTGTTCCAAAATCAATACATTTTTGACAGCATATAACATTGGTCTTGACAAATACATTAGTTTATTCTAAATCAATATAATTCCACAGCAAGAATGATGGTCATTTAATAAATAAATTGCAAAAAATCAATATATTTTGACAGCAAGACATTGGTCCAGACAAATACTTAGATGCAATGTGTAGAAACATTCCCAAATTTAAAATTATTTTTGTCAGCAAAACATTGGTTATGATAAATACACAACTTCGTTCCCTTAATCAATATAATTTTGACACAAAAAATGTTGATCTCCATGACTGTTGAAGTACTCCCAAAGCTTAAATTATTTTGACAGCAAGACATTGGTCATACATTGCTTGTTTTATATGAATTCGGCCATGGTTGCATAGAAAAATGAAAACAATGTATATGCTGTAGTAAAACCAATTTATAAAAAGCATTAAAATGTCTCAAACATCGATTTGCAGAACATGTTGTCTTACGGAGAAAAATGAAAACATTTATCAATGAGTATGTATTGAAACAATAGATTGTCTGAAAAAAGGTAATGGAATAGTTCATGTACAATTTCTGAAGACACTGCAGTTTTCATTTTATGTAAAAAGAATGATGATTAAATAATTAAATTCAAAACTGGTGTAAAACTAAATCTTTACATGATAATATCTATTCTGTCATATACCTTCACCTTTTATATGACCTGATTTCGTTCGCCCACTTCTTTTTACATGGTGTTGTCTACCATTTTCTTCACATCCGATGTGTTCTTGCTTAAATTATTACCAATTTCAAGTTTAGCATCTTCAATCTAATAATTCTATTCACAGTGTTCTAGACTCATAAATAAATATATAAAGTATAATTTATGTTTTATATTTAATCTAATCAACGTTTGCTCTTATCATATTTTTCCAGATCAAAAAGCTAAAAAAAGATAGATGTATATTTTGAGGAAATTTTATATGAATAATTATGATGATTTATTTTTTATTAATATACACGTATAGTCATAAACATACACATAAAACCATAGAAATAAGAATACATTAAATCGTATACATAATTGTTTAGAAAACTGCAAATGTACATGGACAAACATGTGCGTAATGTAGAATGAGTATATAAAAACATTATTTCTATTATTTCATATCACAGAACACGGTAGGAACAAATATCTATGGTACAAAGAATATATAAAAAGTATCAAATATTAACATTCCTAAAACAGAAAAAATAGAAAGAAACAATGAGAGCGTATTTAGGCGACTACGGATGTAACACAACGTGAACCTCTTGGATGTTTTGTGAAAAATCCTGTGAGGAAAAGAATGTGATAATCTTTATTATTATTATCTTCTCCGTTGACCAATGCATTTGACTAGTTTAATATGAAACAGTTATTAATATAAATCCTAAACGAACGTCATATATAAATGTTAAATACTATTGCTACAGCTATATAGATAAGCGGTCCTTAATCATATTTGAGCCGCATCACGACAAAACCAACATAATAGGTTTGCGACCAGCATGGATCCAGACCAGCCTACGCATCCACGCAGTCTGATCAGGATCCATGCTGTTCGCTATCAGTTTCTATACTTGTGATAGGGTATGTAAGCGAACAGCATGGATCCTGATCAGACTGCGCGCAAACCCATTATGTTGGTTTTGTCGTGGCGCGGCTTTGTCGTTGCAGAGTTTGTAGTGTACTTAAAACACCATCGTGTGCGTTAAAATTGATACCATTGGGCTGAAAATAAAACATGTAGTAATAAACTATATCTCATGAATATACATATTATGCATACCTACTTACAAACAGCAATAATAAATACTAAATAATCATAAATGATACATCGATATATCTGCAGAAAATAAAAAATATTATAACATCTAATAAGTATAAGAAACTTGAACCTGTATATTCACATCGTTGCTATCTTGAATAAAAAAAGTTAAATATTACATGTATAACATATTAACCTAGGTCAATAACATGTTTCAATTACATATTTTAAATGCTAAACTACGAAATATAAAAAAAATGGATAAGTGTTTATGTTAATAATAAAACTGATTGTTATGAGTAAGGTATCCATAAATTGGCGCACTACAGCAATTCAATGTTAAGAGTAAAATACATACATTATCACGTTTTATCATACAATATGCACGTAGAAGTGTTCCTTTTAGCATATAAACTACAGTAGCTCTCGCAATATAAAAAAGAATATAAGAATATATTTTTCTTACCACCAGTGTCCAATTGTGTTAGATATAAAGATACATTACATACTTACTTACTGCCAGAGTCCAAATACTTAAGATATATAAATAAATTCATTATCAATCTACTTACCATCACCAATTACCAATTGTGTTAAAAATGAAAACAAAATTATATACTTACTTACTTACCACCAGAGTCCAATAATGTTAGATTAAGAAATAAATATATATTATTGTTAATCTACTTACCACCAAAGTCCAATAATGTTGGCCGGGAACATCAAGTAGAAGTATAGACATACATAGAATCCTTGTTTTCTCATTTTAACACTTCACTATATTATTTTGTCTGGTATTAGTTATTTGTCCAAATAGATGATACTGGTTTAAACCAATCATCTTTATCACATATCTTTTTTCATGTCTTCAGCTTAGTTAATCCTTTTGTGTTTGAGTCACTTTTTTCACTACATGAAAGTATACAAACACTTCCTTCTCAGCCGATATTTTTTCTATTAATTTCCAAAATATAGTTGAAGGAAATCCATATAATTGCCAGTATTGACTGCGTCAGAAGTAATTACAATTTATCATAAGTTTTTATACATACAAAGGTATATGATATACTTTTGGAAAGGGTTGCCATTGTCTATTGCCACTTGAGGAATACTACAGGCGAATGCCATATTCTTGTTACATTCCGTTCCTATCAGCCGTGCCAAACCACTTTTAGACCACCAAAAACTGTTGCATTAAAAATCAAGTAGCTCTCGCGTGTCAACTTTTTCAAATACACATTAATGGTACATTTAAACTGTAACCACACAGAAAAACAAAACGCTTATAGGTGAACGCTGTTAACAGGTGGGTAAAATCTATGATAAGATTTTCCTAAACCGATACTTCGGGATCGTCCTCAGTTCCAATGTTTTGACTGACGTGCGTCATAATTTGTTTTCATCAGACACACTTTACTCATTCGGCGCAGAAGTTGATTTTGTTATTTCCTTTACATTTAAAAACAACTTAAACTTTCACTGATTCTTCACTGTTTAAAAACAACAATATTCACGTTGGAATAAAACACATCTAATTCTAGATGCTCCTTTTTAAAACTGTACACGTGAATGTCTACAGTATATCCGATGGTCTCGTGGAAGGAAAATTGGAAACTTTTGGTCAGGAAATATACGATGTTTGTAAGTCGTTTTTTCTCCCCCGAAATTCCTATTTTATTTTTAGTATAACAAGACAAGATAACGCAGTAGAAATTTGCTTCTACATGCCTTTATTGCCTGTAAAATAAGGTGTGAATTAAATTCTAAACAATCATGATTGTGTAATTTATAAAGTATCCCGCCTAATCTTGATACGGGTCAGCTAGTGCGGTGAAGATGTTCTAGCTTGAATTGACATCGGGCCAAGACAGCTTTGGTTTAGAAAACATATAAATCATATAGTGATCTTTCCTGGAAAAGTCTTCTGCGTTATTTGATCGGGAAATTTAAGTAGACCATTAATAAAAGCTCTAATTTATATCGCACAGTCTTTAATTCTGCTTCCAACGGCGACGTGTCTAGGAGCAAAAACAGAGATTATATATTTACGTATGTAGACATATAATTGTTAAGCTTTTGGAGAGTTTATGAATGGCATTGTTATTAATCTCCATATATCCAACAGTAATATCTAATTTGAACTTTCATTAACACACGCCTCCTAATATGTTTTAAATCATAAACACAATAACGTGACTTCCTGAATCATAATGTACAAAATTCTGCCTTTCAAATTGTAAAATAGTAACTATTTTTCAACAGTATATTTCAATTTTAGTAAGATAATTTCACAGAAGTAAGTATTGTTTCAAATAGTTTACAATAAATACTGTTTAACAATAAATGCTCTGCCAATTAAATATGTCGAATTTATTTCCTCATGTTCTCCTTAATTTATACAGGTCTTACGCAATACACAAATTTAAATTTGTTCTCATACGAATTTTTCAGTGCATCTATTCTATTTCACTCTATCCGTAACTTATTTTCCTTGCGAAGAAATACACACGATTTTAATGTCTTTTATATTTACAAATAAAACATCCATGTAATTATTCTAAACATTTTAAAATGGACCCACTGTCTGCTCTTGGATATTCTATTTCTTCATAAGTGATATCTTGAAAAAAGACATATCGAGTTTTCTCCTATTCCATAATGCATCTATTGAATTTTGCTATTTCAAATAATTTTCAGACATCCACACTTCTCCTTAATATTCTCCATTAGTCATTTAGTCATTGATAGATGTCTTTATAGTTTATCACATCAACGATATCACACTTCAATCAATTAATTACATATCATAATTCAACCAGTCCATTCATAAACATATCTGTGCAATATTCCCGTCATAACAAAGAGTCGTTTCGCTACAAATTGGTCCGGAATATTCAGACTGAAAATTCACTCGTTTATCACTTAATCCTTAAATCTACCTAGCCACATTTTGTCTCTTGTTGTAATACAGGGTTACACCTCATCCCCTCTTTGCAGATGTTCTGAAACTCAATCTTGCCGAAGATGAAAGGGAAATCTGTAACCAAAACGTAGAAAGCGAATTTGATTGAATTAAATTAACTGTAAATATGTTAAATAGCAATAGGATCTTTTTTGCATTTTGTAGAGCCCAAATCATATAATGCATCGAACATGAAAATAAAACCGAGCTGTCATTTTATTGCATTCTTATATATTGAAAATTTTAAAAGTAGCAGAGACACACAAGTCAATTAAACGTAGGTCTAATTTTTCAAGCGTTCGTTTGCTCATGCGTACAATTCATGTTATCCTCAGTCGTACCCAGGGACGTAGATGGATTTTGCATCGTAGCACTTCAAAGAAGAAATATTTTCAATGAAAGATTATAATTTTCATAAACGAGACGAAATAAAAAAAATAACTTTAGAATGACACTCATTTAAGAAAAATATTTTGCCTTGTTCTTTCGGTTTCTGATTAGGAATTGCGCCCCCTTGTATATACATTTTTTATACGCCCGAGATTATCATCCGCGCGAGGTTTCATCGTCGGACGGCTGACTGCACCTAAGTTTTTAAAAACGTAATTAGGGACATCGCCTTAAGGAGATATTAAAAGAAATGTTGTATGTATCGAACGTTTGATCTTGATTATTGTATGATATATCCACACCTTGACTTGTCAAAAAGTTATTACTATTTACAACACTATGGAGGCCCTGCTGTATAAATACATAGTTCACTGATCAATGAGATTATACACAGAAAAATTAAGTTCATAGAATATTCTGTATATGTGCATTATATATTTTTATTTTGTCATGTAACTTTTAGAGAAACCTTAATAAATGTTATACATATATAAATATATATGCGATGATATAAAGTTTTTTTCAGTGATTTTTTTTTAATTTAATTTTTTTTATATTTTTTTAATCAAAAGTGTTTAATAGAAGCTACTAAATGTAATTTAATGCAAAAAAAATGTAATTCAATGCAAATCATATTTTTGAAAAATATTTGACAAAAAATGAAGTTCAACAAAAACACAAGAAGGTCGGTATTTCTACTCTTCTCATGGAAGTTAAATATTGTTTGGGTATGGTGAATGTATGACATGCAGTATAATAATGTAAAAATTTGGATTCTTCATTACTTTTATGTTTTAACACATTTTTTCATTATTGTAAAACCACCACTTAAAAATAATAAATCTAAGACTAAATTAAAAACGAAACGAAACCACTTCCTTTTGTTCACATTAGTATCTAATAAGCCATCGTGTCAACTCAAAAAAATTAATGCAAAGAACAAAAGTAAATACAATATTAAAATACAGCATTAGTCCCAAAGCACACTAGTATATATTAGGTTAAATTATTCAAATAAATTATATTACACAAAATGTTCTAAAAGGTACTAAAACTTTATTGAGCATCAGTCTGAATTTCAGAAAATATTACAATTTCGCCCTCGTTTTTTATTTAATTTCCGAGTCCAAAAAGATCCATATCAAAACATCCGTCTAGCCTCGTTCTCATTTCTTGAGGCAAATTGATTCATATTAAATACATATTACATTCTAGAAGTTACAAAGGTGCCGACAATATGGTAAACAGTTCGTGGTTTGAAATGACGATGTCATTAAACATTTTTGAGTACATTTTTGAGGACAATACTGATTCTGTTGTACTTTTTAAGTACAATACTGATTCTGTTGTACATTATTAGTACAATACTGATTCTGTTGTACATTTATGAGTACAGTACTGATTATGTTGTACTTTTTAGTACAATACTGATTCTGTTGTACATTTTTGAGTGCAATACTGATTATGTTGTACTTTTTAGTACAATACTGATTCTGTTGTACATTTTTAGTACAATACGGATTCTGTTGTACATTTTTGAGTACAATACTGATTATGTTGTACTTTTTAGTACAATACTGATTCTGTTGTACATTTTTAGTACAATACTGATTCTGTTGTACATTTTTGAGTACAATACTGATTCTGTTGTATATTTTTAGTACAATACTGATTCTTTTGCACATTTTTGAGTATAATACTGATTACTTTGTACTTTTTAGTACAAAACAGATTCTGTTGGACTCGTAACTATAAACTTATAAATGTCCTGCCCAAATTAGGTTTGACAGTCGTGTGTCAAATAGGATTCAGTGTTGTACTCAACAATGTATAATAACCTTTTATTATAACCAACAAAACATAATAACCTTTTGGTATAACATACCTTTTCTAACGAAAGATATATTCTATTAACTCTTTATCACTTTTTTATTGTTTTTTTTAATAACGAGGTATTCAAGCAAGTACATTAGTACTACCGGTATCTAATACAAATGTATATTGCACTATGATAAAAGTGTTTGTTTTGTTCGCAGGAAGAAGGTCCCGGGGTCAGTAAATGCCCATCATATACACTAGTATCTCATGAAGTACTGAATAGAGTATTTACCAAGGGCAGAAAACTATCGCACATACAATGTATAAGGAAATATGCGTATTTACATTTGAATAAGCAACGTGATATTGTAAACATTTTCTTGCAACTCATGGTCATACTAATTATAGTTACACTCCTGACAACTTTAACGTTGAGAGAACTTTTTTTCATAATTGGACGCTCTTACATTAAATGACTCAAGAATGGAAATTAGAGGTCTTAATTAATCCACCTGTAAAGTTGGCCATATGACATTTACTGTGTCGGTGCAACATAAAACCTGAGAAACAACATTTTCCTCAACTGTTTTCATATATTGTAACATGTTCATATTGGAAAGCGGTGATCTTTATAGAATCCTTTACTTTCCTGAAGTCACTATGTGGAGTGAGATGTCCCCCGACAAAAGGCTTCAGTGTTTTCACAATATGTACATTAATTGACTAAGTATTTTGTATGAAAGTCAAACTACTTCGTTGTTTAAATTTACCAACTTTAATGACAAATAATTTCACATTCAACTTTACTTTCCTTATGTGATAAGCAGCTTACATGCTCAAAAACATTATTTATAAAACTCATGCGTGCCCATTCAAGAGAAGGAAATATTTATTCGTTTCTAAGCTAAGGAATATTGTTCCTTTAACCTTTAGCGTTCTACAATAGCATTTGTTATGTTATCACTATAGAGCTAGAGCCTTTGCTTCTGTACAGCTTGCCCAAGCTCTGTACACAGCTCCCTGATAATATTGTTCAAAGTCAAGCCTGGACAAGTGCTGTACACAAATTCTATTGGTTAAGGGTTAAAACTTTAATTCTCATGCACAAAACTATAGGTCAATGATCATATGAAACTCTTTTTTCACAAAACCAGTGTTCCTTTCGCCATTAATTTGACAAATGATTGAAACAAACTATAAGCTTATTATAGTGATACACTGACTAAACTGATGCAGTTTGAGTGTTCCATTCCTGATGCAACAAGAGCATTGTTGTACAATAGTTTCACTGATAAATTTAAAATACTAACAAAACAATAGTAAATAGTTTGAAAATATCACTGCGATTTACGCATATCAATTCTGTTTTAAATTATTTTAGACTTCTAGCTTAAAACCGCGGGATAAAATGGTAATGTTCTCTGAAGAAATGATATACTGGTAGGTTTTGAAACAATCTATTACAACTAAGAATTTAGATACTTTAACTTTACTTTGAAGCTATCAATTATTTGAACACAATATTTTAAACATTATATATCATAACCGCGAGAAAATCGGGCTGATTAAAACAAAATGTTATGTTCCAACTTTTGAGGGTCAAATGCCCTTACTCAATGTACAAATACAATTAAGATAACATAAGCTTATTTAACCTTGTTTAGAACAATACTGTATTCTATCGGCCGATTACACAGCTGTCAAAACTATATTGGACGAGGTGCAAGCCGAGTCTGATACATGTTTAGCAGCTGGATACAAGTCCAATAGAATCAGTATTGTTCTCAAACAAGTTTAATGATACCACCATTTGTTTAGACAATCCGACTTATTATTTATTATAATAAGGATTCAATATGGATATTGGACTCTCTTAAAAATGAATATGAGACTATGGGGTGCGATATGGATTTGATATGAACCTTTTGGACTCTGGTAATGAAAACAAGACTATATAGGGATGCTATATGGATTTGATATAAACGTTTTCGACTCTGGAAAGTGAACGAGGGTATATACTGTTGTGATATGGATTGGATTTAGTATGGACGTTTTGGAGTCGAGGCTCTATTGATAAAATCGATTTCAATAATTAATAATAGTTGCAATGGCGCTGAAAACACATTGGTTATATATTATAAGGTGTGAAATAATAAAAGATATTAACATCGCTTGAGATATTCCCAATCAATAGATGATATCATAAGATAAATAGATAAATAAACATGTTAGCTAGACATCAATTAATTACATCAACATGAAAAGAATTTTAATACAAACAAATACATTCACTATAAATATATCACTGGCCACAATGATGATAAGAAAAATCAATTATGCAAAGATTTTCAATGTATGTGTTTGTTATTATAATTTCAAGCATATATATGATTTAATTTAATCTAAATTTAATTTAATATGTGTTATGGGGCGTCTAAGGTAGCTGAATTAAAACCATTTTGAGTTCAAATCCGGTAAGAGACTTCAGACTTTTTCACATGAAAAAACTGCTAGTATCCAGCTAGCTTCTACTCAGTTATCCGTTCGTGCCTGAATTAATGCACCAGGGAGGCACCTGGGATCTTCCTCCGCCAGTAAAGTAGGGAAGTTGTTATCTTTGTGCAACGAAAAACCTTTCCAAAAGAACAACTATGTCTGTTTTAAGATTCGGTAGGAATAAGCAGAATAGTCACCTCAGACGGGCCTCGGAAACATATCTAATACTTTGTATCAGCTGATTTTTTCACCAATGAATGCAAGCTAACTTTTCATTTTATGCTAATCCCTTTGTTTTTACCTAACATAGCGCTTGTTTATAGATGCAGGGCGATGTTATAACGAACGTCTTATACTGACCTTACATTTTG